CTAGTACTTTCGCAAAGATTTTATAATCTGTATTCAAAAGAGATATTGGTCTATAGTTCTCTGGTTTTTTAGGACCGATTTGTTCTTTTGGTATCAAAGATATGTAAGCTGTTGTCCATGATGGGGGTATTTTACCCCCTTGCTGAATATTGCAAAATAAATCTCTAAGTTGTTCCACCATTTCAGCTTGCAAAGTTTTGTAATACACTGTGGTCAAACCATCCGTGCCAGGAGCTTTGGCTGTTTTTAACTGTTTAATTGCTACTATTATCTCCTCCTCTGTTATAGGATAATTCATTCTTTCCTTTTGTTGATCAGTAATTTTTATAACTCTTTTATCGTTTAAATATTTTTCTATAAGTCCATTCTGCACCTCCTCTTTAGCATATAATTTAGTATAATAGTCCACAAAAGCTTCTTTAATTAATTTTTGTTGAAAGATTTCTTTCCCTCCAATATCAATACTATCAATAGTCCGTATACTTTGTTTTTTCCTCAATGTGTAAGCCAACCATCTGCCCGGTTTATTAGCGTTACAAAATGTGTTATGCTTCGCATATTGTAAGTTTGTTGCAACTTGTTCCACCATAAGCATTTGAAATTGGTCTTTCAAAAGTTTTATAGCACTACGTATTCTTTCATCTGTTGGATTTTTAATAAGTAACTGTTCTTTATTCTTTATTTCTATTTCCAGTTCAGATCTTTTCTTTTGTCGGAACAGTCTATGTTTAGAGTTCATGTAGATAAGTACCCCTCTCATATAAGCTTTACTTGCGTCCCACACAATTTCAATTGGGGTACCTTTATTCAAATTTATTTCAAAAAATTCTTTCAAATGCTTTTTAAGTTCTGTTGTATTTTTTTCATATCTAAACAAATTCTCATTTAATCTCCAAGAACGTCTCTCAACCTTGTCCATCTCAATTTCTATCCATACTGGGCTATGGTCAGTCAAAGTTCTTGGAAAAATCTTTGTTCTTTTTGTCTTAACAAGTAAATCATCTGTCAACAAAATGAAGTCAATCCTAGAGAAGGATCTGTGTCTGTCAGAAAAAAAAGTGTAGTCCAATTCTTTTGAATTATGTATTCTCCAAACATCTTTTAGTTCCATATCTTCTTTCATGTCAAAAAAGGTCTGTGGTAATCTGATCCTAGACTTTGCCAAACTCTTTTTATCTAATTTAGAGTCGATTACTCCATTCCAGTCTCCCATAATTAAAATAGATCTGTAATCCCATTGCAATATTTTAGTATGTAACATCTTATAGAAATAGTCCTGTTGTTGATTGGGAGCATAAATTCCAATCAGAAGAATTTGGCCATTTGCTGTAAGCAATTCAATTGCTACAAACCTACCATCTTCATCTGCTTCTATAACTTTAGCTGTTAACTTTTTATTTACATAAATAACCACACCATTCTTTTTTTGCGAAGTTGAAGATATAAAATGTGTTCCTAGTTTGGAGTTTATCAAATATTTTTGATCTTGAGTTGTGATATGCATTTCTTGTAAACAAATTATATCATTATTAAATTGTTTCAAATATGTAAATAATTTCTTCCTTTTCTGTGCTGAATTCAACCCATTAACATTCCAAGATAAACACTTAAACATCATCACCCTCTTTCTGGAGCAAAGAGCAAAATAATTGAAGGTCATCCGAAAGCTTCAATCTCGCTCCCCCCATGGCTCCAATCTCTTGTGCAGTACTCTTAACTGCCTCCTTGTCTTGTCTTTCCTGTTGTTGTTGTTGCTTTTGTTTAAGTAACTTAGATTGAGCTCGAGTTATACGTTGATCCTTAACTTCAATCATCCGAACCGGGTCCAAGATTGGAGAAGATTCCAGCAAGGGCTCATCCAGAAAACCTCCTTCTGCACCTTGCACTTCCTCTAATTCCTGCTTAGACTGTTCTTGCAATTCTCGTTGAGGTTGCTTCTCTTCACTCTCTTTAATCTCCAAAACTGTAGATGTTCGTGGAGATGGTGTTCTTTCCTTAAGAATAGTAGTATAGAAGTGCTGTGCCTTCTCCACGGTATTCAAACGGTATCTTTCTCCCTTGTATCTGAAAATTATGCCAACTGGTGCGTCCCACCGGAAAGGTATCTGTAAATTTTGCAATTCCTTAACAAGAAAGCCAAATTCTTTTCTAGCTTTCAGCATTTTAGGAGGCAATTCTTTATAAATTCCAATTCGTGAGCCCCCCCACTTGTACAGAAGTGTAAAAGGATTTTTGCAGGATATCGTTTCTTATTTCTCTATCTGTAAAATATATGACCACATCTCTAGGTAATTGTCTTTGTCTGGCCACCCAGGAGTTCACTCTGTAAATTTTGTCTATTTTGTGAAAAACCACATCAGGATTAACTTGTAGAATCTTGGCCAGGGCCTCAGAACAAACTTGTCTCAAATCCTGTCTTTCCTCCTCTCGAATTCCTCGAAGCCGTATAGCAAACTCCATTGCCCTGAATTGTATCATGACAATCTCGTTTTCAACTCTTTGCATTTTATTGTCAACATCAGCAATTTTATAATCATTGTCTTTCATCTTAACATTAACTTCTGATTTAAGTTCTTCAACTTTAAAATCAACTTTCCCAATAAATTCTGCCAGGCCAGATGCCACTTCTGATATTTTTTTGGTCACCTTGTTTTGGTTCTGTTTCACCATATCTTTAACTTCATTAATTTCCTGCATAAATTCCTGATGTGATTTTTGAAGTTTATCATCTATCTCCTGTTGAGATTTTTGAAATTTATCATCCAAAGTTTTAGAAATAAATTCTTTTAAATCTCCCACATCAAATTCTTTTTTCTGAGTCTGTAGCTGTTGAGCAGGGGGAAGCTGCGTTTCATGTTTGTGTGTGGGGGATCCCCCCCTGTTGCCTTCCCTTCCTGCTTCTTTGAAGCCATCCTGCCACGTGATCTAGTTTTTCTAAAGAGGGAAGTTCCTTTTCCTTTCCCTCCTGCACAAAGACTTCTAAAAAAGTCCCCCAGATTTGATCAAATAAAGGTTGAAGTAAAGCAAAGTGAAGTATTGAAAAGGGAGAAATTTTCCACTTGTTTCTCTTATTACAAACAAGGCAACTTTGTAGCAACTTGGAAACTTTGTAACAAAGCAAGATAACTTCACCAATCCACACTCGCTGGCTCGTTAACTCTAAGGCTGAGCGCCATGTTTTTTCAAAGCACTTTCACTCATTCGCATTTTTCTCAGATTAAAAAGTCAACAAAGCGCTAATACTTGCGTTTCCAAGTTTCAAGATTCAGGTAGTTTTGCTGTTTATTAAGGCTGGTTCTTTTTGCTTTGAGTTTCCTGCAGCCGGCTTGTTCTGCAAAAGCAGAATCGTCCCACGTCACCCGGAGTTTCAGCAGGTTGGGAGGGAGCCACGCCTGTTCTCTCCCCAGAAACTTCCCTGGGGGGTTACAGGGGCTCGACCTGTGCCCTGCGATCTCTACTTCATCAATCCTGTGGATTTTGAAGTTTTCGAGCCGCTTCTTCGTCGCGAAGCGGCTCTACAGGCGGCGGGGCTGGCGGAGCTTCAAAAGGCACCGCCGTCGCCGAAGACAGGGAAACCGGAAGTCCCACATTCATAACTCTTGATTTGTCAGTAAATTAAAATAGTCTTAATGCACAGCCAAGAAGCAGTGGCATCCATGGGAAAAGCCAAAACAAACATGACAAGAGATGTAGCATCACAAGACAAACCTAGCTCCTTCCTTAAGTGCATCAGAGTTATTATATAAAAGATGCTGAGTTTGAATTGTGACACCATAGATTTATCTTGTCACCTTTTAACATTTGCACAAAATGTCATGCAGAACGTTAGGCATTACTACACAAATCACTGAAATGATATCATTTGTATTAAAGTCGAAGTTAAACTTTATATGAGTCACTCATTCAGATTCCTTGAAAGAAAGGATAGAATACACACAACAGTGATACAAAGTCCTGTAGATGTGCATAGTTAACTTTGCTATCAACAATGCATGAATTCTACACACTATTATTGTAAATTTTACAACAGAAAAAGCTGTCTTATGATGTTTGCCATCCAAAAGAAGCTGTGTATAGAATTTTTCTGTCCAATAAAAGAATAACAGAAATAGGCTCAGAAGTGGGGTTAGTAACTCATTACAGATGTCTTAATAAAATTGCAGCACAGGAAGTCCTCAAATTACAATAGTTCGTTTAGTAACTGTTCGAAGTTACAAGGATACTGAAAAGAGTAACTTATGACTGTTTTTCACACTTACAACCATTTCAGCATCCCCGTGGTCACTGTATCAAAATTTGGCCACTTGGCAACTGGCATGTATTTATGACAGTTGCAGTGTCCCAGAGTCATATGATCTTTTTGTGAATTTTTGACAAGCAAATTCAATGGGGAAGCCAGATTCACTCAACAACTATGTTACTAACTTAGCAACTACAGTGATTCACTTCACAACTGTGGCAAGGAAGATCATAAAATGGAGCAAAATTCACTTAACAACAATTCTCGCTTAACAACAGAAATTTTTACAATTCAATTCTGACCATAAGTCGAGGACTACAAGACAACAATTTAGATTCCCAGGAAGACAGAAGGAGGGCTCAGCACCTAATTAGCCCCTTCTAATTCTATGATTGTAGGAGACAGATTCCTTATCTTTGTTTGAATTATCTCATTTCAATTGTTATGTCTGTTTCTTCTATTATTATATAATCTCAATATATTTCCCTCCTTTTATATATGTATATGTTTTATATATTTATATTATATATATATTTATATATGTATACATTATTGTGTTCATACCTAAATAATTGTTAATTTAATTTTTTAGTACAAGTTGTATTTTGTTGCAATATAATTAATACTTATGTATGTTGTCTGGAAAACTTGAAAGAATCAGCAAAAAAAGCTAAATTTAACATTTTGGGCACATGCACATAAGGATGTTTTCTGATTTCAGATAACTTTCAACATAATATTTTCAATTTTGTTTTTTAAGAACCTGATCATCAATCAAGAAGTAGAATACATTTAATCGCAATACCAATAATTCTAGTTCTAATACTGGTACTTTTCTTCTGCATAAGTAAGTGAAATTTTTGCAGTTAATTTTTCTTTTACTACTCTTTTTCTGGAAATTAACATGGAATTCTGAATTTTATTCTGAGTTCACAGACCCAGGCACACACAGACAGCTAACAAGCAGAGAAAAGCTGCTTAATATTGTGTAAACATAGGACAAAATACTATACTTACAAGACTGTCTCTATACATTTTGTAAACATATTTATATAGAGTAACCAAATGTAAATTATGTAAAGTATGCCTTAATTCTTAAAACTTAACTAAATGTTTTAAATTTCTGCTACTTTGCTTATACTACAAAAATCTTTCACTGTTTCACTTCCTTCCCCACTTAGCTCTGCCACTACCTAGAGTTCAGAACTGCATTTTCTCTCTGCTGGATCTTTTCTGCAGATTCTTCTTTGGCTTCAGCTGCCTCAGGCTCCCTCCTGATTCTTCTCTTTGACTATGGTGTGTCTGGTTCCTGCTTCCTTTGCTACATGTCCCTTACGATCAGCTCTTCTCACAGCAACATCTTCTGTCAAGCTTAAAAGAAATCACCCTTCCTTCTGTCTACCTGCTGTAATTGTTGCTTTTAGTTCTTTCTTTGGAAACCTACTGTATGAACAGCTTGAAAGTAATTCTATGACGTTTAAATTCGCCCTCCGCTTCTCGGCAAGTACCCACGAGTTTAAACTGGGCAGGTGACAGACCATTGCAGAGAAAAAATCTTGACAGTCTCACATAGCATTTTTTTCTGATTCAAGGCAGTTCATCTTTCCATGTACATCATGCTCCAATGAAAAAGAACCTGAAATGTTTAAGAATGGTATACTAACCATAAGAATTGGAAACAAGCTTCTGAGTTCCCATATTTTTTGGAAATATTTCTATTTAATTATTTTTTTTATTTTGTTGAGTACATATTAGATAATATATATAAGTATAAGCATGAATTGAATATATAAAATGAGTACAATTAAAGGGAACATTAGGACAGGCTGGTGCCCCTTACAGACCTCTTAGGAATGGGGTGAGGTCAACAGTAGACAGTTTTAGGTTAACGTTTTGGGGGTTTTGGGATAAGACCACAGAGTCTGGTAGTGCATTCCAGGCATTAACTAACTAACTAATTAATTATTAATTAATTAATTAATTAAGGGTTAATTAATTAACCCTTCCAATGTTTACAATAAGAATTTTACCTCCATATATTTCTAAATTGGGGAAACATTCTGTGGTTCCCCTGTTGTGGTCAGACCACTCCTTGGTAACCATGAGTTTTTCTGGTGGAATCCTCCACCACAGAGGGGAGTTAATGTCCTATTCTGTTGCTGGAGGCTTGTGGGGTTTTGGATGGGGAACAACAGACTTCAGTTCAACCTTGGCAAGACCAAGTGCTTCAATGGTGGGTTGCCCCTGGTTCGCACCGGTTCTATAAAACCGGTAGTAAAACTGGAGCGAGGCTCCACCCACCGACCCCAATGTCATCAAAATGTTCCTGCATATGCGCAGAAGAGCACACGTGTGGCTCCATTGCAAACCGGTAGTAAAGGTAAGTAGAATCCACCCCTGGAGTGCTTGTGTTTGGGGGTTATCAGGTTCCGAGAACTTGCCTTCTTTGATATGGTCTGCTGCAAACAGACCCAGTACACAACTAGGGAGATCCTTCTGTTCAATGAGCAGGTGGTAGTTGTAGCTAAGAGGCAGGGGTGGGTTCTATTTACCTCCACTACCGGTTCGCAATGGAAGTGCGTGCACGCATGCGCAGATCATTCACGATGACATCTGGGCGTGTGGGCGGAGCCTCCCGCAGCTATTACTACAGTTTGCAAGAACCGGACCAAACCAGGAGCAACCCACCATTACTAAGAGGCCTTTTACACAACTTCAGATTGTGTGTCAGAATAACAGAGTTGGAAGGGACCTTGTAGGTCTTTTAATCCAACCGCCTGCACAAGTAATAGACACTATACCATTTCAGACAAATGTCTGTCCAGTCTCTTCTTAAAAACCTCCAGTGATGGAGCATCTTCTGGAAGCAAGCCATTCCACTATTTGATTGTTCTCACCATCAGGAAATCTCTCCTTGGTTCTAGGTTGCGTCTCTCCTTTATTAGTTCCAACCATTGCTTTTTGTCTTGTCTTCTAATGCTTTGGTTGACCCGCTCTTCTCTGTGGCAGCCCCTCAAATATCGGAACATTGCTATCATGTCACCCTGGTCCTTCTTTTCACTAGATTAGACAAACCCAATTCCTGCAACCGTTCTTCATATGTTTTAGCCTCTGGCCCTCTAAACATCTTTATTGTTCTTCTCTGCACTCTTTCCAGGCTTTCAACATCTTTTTCATTTTGTGGGGACCAAAACTGGATGCAGTATTCTAAGTATGGTCTTAACAAGGCATTATAAACTGGTATTATTATTTCACATGATCTTGATTCTACCCATCTGTTAATGCAGTTTAGGATTGCATTGGCTTTTTTGGTGGCTGCAGCACACTGCTGGCTCAGTGATTGTCTATGGCTCAGCGGTTAATGACACTGAGCTTATCAGTTGCTAAACTGATAGCCTGGGTTCAAGCCCCAAGCACCATGCAAGGAGTTCCCATTCCTGCTCCAGTTCCTGCCCACCTAGCAGTTAAAAAGCATTCAAATGCAAGTAGATTAATAGGTGCCAGTTCAGCGGGAAGATTCCATGTTCCTTTGGTGTATAGCCATGCTGGACACATGAGCATGGAAATATCTTTGGACAATTCTGGTTCTCTCTGCCAAGAAATGGAGATGAGCACTATGCCCTAGAGTTGGACATGACTTTTATCACTAGGACTCCAAGATCTCTCTCACAGTTGCCAGGTTCCACCAATTCTATACTTGTACATTTGATTTTTCTTCCCTAAGTGTAAAACCTTACTTTTCTCTCCATTGAATTTCATTTTATTAGATAGGGCTCAGTGTTCAAGTCTATTGAGATCCTTATGGATCTTGAGCCTATCTTCTGGGGTATTGGCTATTCCTTCTAGCTTGGTGTCATCTGCAAATTTGATGAGTTCCCCTTCTGTTCCCTCTAAATTATGAAGATATTGAAGAGTACTGGGCCTAAAGTAGCAGGTACTCCACTGCTTACTTCCCTCCATGTAAATGTATTTCCCTTAACGACTACATGTTGAGTGTGGTTTGTCAGCCAGTTACAAATCCATAAGATGGTGATGCTGTCTATTCCACATTTTTCTAGCTTACCAAGAAGTAGGTTGTGGTCTACTTTGCCAGATGCCTTACTTAAATCTAAGTATACTATGTCCACAGTATTTCGCTGGTCCACTTATTTAGTTACAGTATTTAGTCAAAGAATGAAATAAGATTTGTTTGACATAATCTCTTAGCTTCTAGTTGTAGTTTATAACTTTACTTTCCTCTAGGTGTTTACAGATCTGTTGCTTGATTATTTTTTCCAGTGTCTTCCCAGGTATTGATGTCAGGCTGATTGGTTTGTAGTTTCCTGGATCCATTTTTTCAATTTTTTGAAGATGGGAACTACATCAGCTCTTTTCCAGTCCTCTAGTGCTTTATCTTTGAAAGATATGGTTTAATGGTTCCAAGATAATGTCTGCCAGCTCCTTCAGAACTTTGGGATATAATATAATCCATCAGGTCCTGATGCTTTGAACTCATCTAGGGTGGACATGTGTTCTCTTACAATTCTCTTCCCTATTTTAAGTTGTATTCCTAATCTATCTTTTACGGTTCTGTTTTTGGTAGGTTGGGCTATTTGTGTGTGTGTGTAAAGACAGATGCAAAGAATGAACTAAGCAGCTCAACTTTCTCCTTGCTGCCCACCACTTCTTTGTCATCTTCTCCCATTGGTGGACTGATTGTTTCCTTGACTTTATGGGTGTCATAAATGAGTGTCAGTTGCACCCATTCCTAGATCAAAAGTTTCTAAGGCACTCATGCCCTGTTCACCTCCAGAAAAGATTATTGAAATGCATGCTATATGGGGCTGGCCTTTAAGGGCATCCAGAAGCTATAGCCAGTGCAAAATATAGTGGCGTGGACAGTTGTGTGCAGTCCTTGATCAGTACACATTACATCTCTGCTTTGTGAGCTGTGCTGACTGCCAGTTTGCTTTTGAGTTCAATTTAAGGTGTTGGCAATACCCTATAAAGCCATACATGGGCTGGGGGTTACATCTGTCCATCAGGTTTTGCAGGAGAGGCATGTTATGGCTCCCATCCACCAAGGAATGTCATCTGACAGAACACAGGAGAGCCTTTTCTGCAGCAGCACCTGCTTTTGGGGACATCATTCCCCAAAACATTAGGCTGGCCCCAACCCTGTGTTTATGACTTGGGATGAGTATGAGACATTACAATTGAAACATACTGATTTTTGAAACATGTGAACATCAACATTAAAAGAAAATTAAAGAGCAAACATTTACTGTATTTTATCATCAGAATTCTCTTTAATAAATACTATTTAATGGTTTATTCTAATTTGTTTTTTATTAGAGAAGTATCTGAAAAAAAGGAAAGAAAGTAAGATCCTTAATGAGTCAGAATCTGGAGCAAAGAATGCAAGAGGAAATTGTAAGGAAGGTAATAAGATTGTATCTGTTGTTGCATTTGCATAATAACCTCCTCTTGCATAAATATGCCTTTGAGTTTCTTTTGAAATGTTTGCTTTTTTACTTTCATTTGTTAGTGTATTGGAGGGTTCTAAGCATCTTCTAGAACAATTGAATCTTTATGAATCAAATTGCATGCCACTATCCTCTGAATAACCTCTCCTAAAAATGAAAGATTGGAGGGAGACCAGGGTCCAAAATTTTTGGGTCAAGTACAGGTAGTTTTTGACTTTCAACCATAATTGTGCTCAAAATTATGGTGATAAGTCATTGTGGTCATTAAGTGGGTCACCAATATAACCATGGCCAATTTTAAGACCTTTTTGGTGGCAGTCATTAAGCAAATCCATTTTATCCTATGAGCATTTTTTGCTGGAAATGGGAAGGTACACTGGAAACCAGTACAAAATGGCAAAAATCACAGTCACGTGATTGCAGGATGCTGCAAATGGCCATAAAGTTGTCAAGTGCCCAAAATGTGACCATATGACTACAGGGGAAGTGTGACCATCAGAACATTGTACTTGGGTCATTTTGGGGGATCTGTTGTAACTTTGACTAGTCACTAAGGAACTAGTCATTAAGTGAGAACTACACATATCTTTTTTTTTTTTTTTTGGAGAAGAGGGACTTGTCTTCTTCAAGGATGATGTACCACTGTGTTTCCCAAGAATCTATTAACCATTTTTCCCAGGCAATCTTGTCGTTTCCACAAGTTCCAGTTCATAGATGTCAAAGAGACCCTTTTTGGCTTCAGAATCACTACATTCAGACTGATCCCTCATAACCCCACAAAACATTGTCTTTGCATCAGTATTGGCTCAGCCAATGTCCAGCTCCTAGTGAATGTAAAGGATTTTATCCTGTAGATGATTTGCAATTTTATCAGAATAACCAATTCTGTTCCAACTTTTCTTTAAAAAGTCCAGGTCATCATCACCTTCAAGAACTCCTCAGTATACTGAGGCAGTTCCCCACCCCCAATTGCTGCATATGTAGTCCTTATTTAGTGACTATCAGGTGATGAAAAAGTAACTTTGTGACTAATTCTTGCATTTACAACTTTTGCAGACCACTAAAGTAAGGTCATATGCATAGTTGTGATTTCACTTAGTGACTGCTTTATTTAACCAAAATGCTGGTTCCAATTGTGGTTGCTAAGCAAGGACTACCTGTATAGGGAAAGACTACTTAATTAGGAGATCGACACAACTGCCCAGATTCAAATCCTTGGGAAAATCTCAAGCATCCTCTGGAAACTGAGCAATTCCATAAGATATCTGAGGCAGATTAACTCAGTGGATCCCTGTATAGGTTACAGATAATTATCTAACAAAGACTGACATCAGTAATCCTCACTTTTGGATCTCATCTGCTTAAAGACTGAAACCAGATGTAACATGTGGCTTCACATCATGCCTCTACCTCAGCATACAGTTGCAAGAAAAAGTATGTGAACCCCTTGGGATTATGTGGAGTTTTGCATCAATTGGTCATAAAATGTGCTCTGAACTTCATCTAAGTCACAACAATAAAAAAACACAGTCTGCTTAAAATAATACTACACAAACATTAGATGTTGCCATGGTTTAATTGAACATAACATATAAACATTCACAGTGCAGGGAGGAAAAAGTATGTGAACCTTTGGACTTAATAACTGGTTGACCCTCCTTTGGCAGCAATAACCTCAACCAAACGTTTCCTGTAGTTGCAGATCAGACCTGCACAACGATCTGGAGTAATTTTGGATCACTCCTCTTCACAAAAATGTTTCAGTGTAGCAATATTCTTGGGATGTCTGGTGTGAATCGCTCTCATGCCACAGCATTTCAATCGGGTTGAGGTCAGGACTCTGACTGGGCCACTCCAGAAGGCGTATTCTGTGCTTTTGAAGCCATTTTTTTGTTGAATTACTTGTATGCTTTGGGTCATTGTCCTGTTGCATCACCCATCCTCTGCGGAGCTTCAGTTGGTGGACAGATGGTCGTACGTTTTCCTGCAAAATGTCTTGATAAACTCTGGAATTCATTTTCCCATCAATGACAATAATCCGTCCAGGCCCTGAGGCAGCAAAGCAGCCCCAAACCATGATGCTCCCTCCACCATGTTTTACAGTGGGGATGAGGTTTTGATGTTGGTGTGCTGTGCCTTTTTTTCTCCATGCATAGTGTTGTGTGTTCTTTCCAAACAACTCAATTTTGGTTTCATCTGTCCACAGTATATTTTGCCAGTAGTGCTGTGGAACATCCAGGTGTTCTTTTGCAAACTTCAAATGTGCTGCAATATTTTTTTGGGACAGCAATGGCTTCCTCCGTGGTGTCCTCCCATGTACTCCATTCTTGTTTAATGTTTTCCTTATTGTAGATGTGTCAACAAAAATGTTAGCATGTGCCAGAGATTTCTGTAGGTCTTTAGCTGATACTCTAGGATTCTTCTTTACCTCATGAAGCATTCTGCGCTGTGCTCTTGCAGTCATTTTTACAGGACGACCACACCTAGGGAGAGTAGCAACAGTGCTAAACTTTCTCCATTTGTAGACAGTCTGTTTTACTGTGGACACATGAACATCAAGGCTTTTGGAGATACTTTTGTAACCCTTTCCAGCTTCATGCAAGTCAACAATTCTTGATCGTAGGTCTTCTGAGAGCTCTTTTCTGCGAGGCATGGTTCACATCAGACAGTGCTTCTTGAAACCAGTAAACCCAAAACAGGTGTGTGTTTTTAAAGGGCAGGACAGCTGTCAGCAACACATCCAATATCATCACACTGATTGGAGTCAAGGTTGGCTCACTCCTGGTTCCAATTAGCTCTTGGAGAAGTCATTAGGCTAGGGGCTCACATACTTTTTCCTCCCTGCACTGTGAACGTTTACATATTATGTTCAATTAAACCATGGCAAATCTAATGTTTGTGTAGTATTATTTTAAGCAGACTGTGTTTTTCTATTGTTGTGACTTAGATGAAGTTCAGAGCACATTTTATGACCAATTCATGCAAAACTCCACGTAATCCCAAGGGGTTCACATACCATATTTTCCGGCGTATAAGACGACTGGGCGTATAAGACGACCCCTGACTTTTCCTGTTAAAATATAGGGTTCGGGCTATACTCGCCGTATAAGACTACCCCTCTTCCAACGCACACCAAATAAAAATTAAAAAACATCAACTGGCTCACCCACAATGTAAAAGCAGTTGTGCTAGACCCAAAATGGCCCCTGCAACAAGCAGGAACCCCACACAGCCACAAAAAGCCCCAAAAAACAACTTTCACACTTTACACACACAGAACACAACACAACTGGCTCACCCTCAATGTAAAAGCAGCTGTGCTAGACCCAAAATGGCCCCTGCAACAAGCAGGAACCTCACACAGCCATAAAAAGCCCCAAAAAAACAACTTTCACACTTTACACACACAAAATTCCACATACAGCTTTGTGAGATTTTGTGTGTTTGTGTAGTTAGAGTGAAACACTACAGAAACACACTAAATCTCAGAAAGCTGCACAAATATTATTTTATTTTATTTTATTTTTATTTTTATATGAAAACTAAATTTAAAACTTCCTAAACTTTAAATGGCTAGGTCTAAAAAAGAACAACTAAAAAAAACCCCAATTAACTATTTTTTTTAAAGCTCCCAAAGGGGAAAAAAACTTACCCAATAGAACAGGGGTCTCCAACCTTGGCAACTTTAAGACTTGTAGACTTCAACTCCCAGAATTCCTCAGCCAGCTTTGTTTTGCTGGCTGACGAATTCTGGGAGTTGAAGTCCACAACTTCCTGCCTGCTTGATTGCAGGCAGGGAGTGGCTTGCTGATGAAATGGATTCAGGCAAGCGAAGCAAGGCAAGCGTTGCGACTAGCAGCTAAGGTAAGCAAGCTGGAGGGGGAAAACTTTTTTCCTTTTACATGGCTCTGGCGATCCAACTCAGGGAACTGATTAGCAGGCAACTCAGCTGGGATCGCCAGAGCTTGGATCGCCAGAGCCATGTAAAAGGTTTTTCCTTTTACATGGCTCTGGCGATCCCAGCTGAGTTGCCTGATTAGCAGGCAAAGCTGGAATCGTCAGAGCTTGGATCGCCAGAGCCATTTAAGGCTCGTCAGAGCCTTTCGGGCTGGTCTGCCTGGTTACAGGAGAACGACATCCGGCGTATAAGACGACCCCCAACTTTTGAGAAGATTTTCATGTGTTAAAAAGTCGTCTTATACACCGGAAAATACGGTACTTTTTCTTGCAACTGTAAGTTCAAGTCTCCTAGCACATGAAATCTATAATCAGTCCAGTAGGGAGTGGTGAAATCCAGCAACTCAAGCAGAGATATACTATCAGCTCTACTAGGTAAACCAGTCCAGAAAATCAACTCTACACGAAAACTAGAACTACTTTTATTGATATTGGCTATAATAACAGAATCTTAAGATCTCTTTCTGTTCTGCCTCCCAATCTTTTTTCATGCCAGTGATCAGTGAGGTATGTGCCTGAGTTTGCTTCTGGGAACTTAAATACGATTTCAGCCCTCTTTGACTAGGTAATAGTTCTTGCATTTTTCTGCCAAAGTTTTTCTTATTTTCTACATATAGTTCAGCACCAGAAGTATCATCAATTCAACATGACGCTTAAGCCCAACCTCACAAATAAGAGTTTATATCTGGTTTTCTGCAGGTACAATGTGTGACTCTGTTAACCCGAAGAGCCTTTTTTTACACTTCAATTTTCCAAGTATGCAGTAAATAATGTAAAGGATTGTTGTTTCTAATATTGGAGGTCATCTAATCCAAGCAGGAGACCCTATATCATTCCAGACAAATGACTGTCCAGGCTCTTCTTAAAAACCTCTGGTGATGGAGTACCCACAACTACTGGAGGCAAGCCATTGCACTGATTAATTGTTCTCCCTAACAGGAAATTTCTTCTTAGTTCTAGGTTGGATCTCTCCCTGATTAGGTTCCATCCATTATTTCT